GAAGGAGGGAGGGAGAGGCAGGGAGGGAGGGAGAAAGAGAGAAAGCGAAAATGATAGACAGAGAGAAAAAGAGAAAGAGAGAAAGAGGAAAAAAGATAAAAGAGAAGGAGAGAAAAAGAGAAAAAGAGAAAGAGAGCAAGAGGAAAAAAGAGAAAAAAAAAAAAAAAGAAAGAGAGAAAGAGAGAAAGATAGAAAGATAGAAAGAAAGAAAAAGAGAAAGATAGAAAGATGGAAAAAGAGAAAGATAAAAAGAAAAAAGAGAAAGATAGAAAGAAAAAAAGAGAAAGATAGAAAGGGAGAAAGATAGAAAGAGAGAAAGAGAGAGAGAGAGAGATACAAAGAGAGAAAGAGAGAAAGAGGGCAAGATAGACAGAGAGAAAACAAAATGAGAGAAACATAAAAAAGAAAGAAGGAGAGAAACATTAAAAAGAAGATGGAATGATGGAAAAAGAAAAATTTAGAAAGATAAAAATAGGTAAAGAGAAAAAGATAAAAATAGACAAAGAGAAAAAGAGAGAAAGAGAAAAAGAGAAGAAGAGAAAAAGAGAAAAAGAGAAGAAGAGAAGAAGAAAAGAAAGAAAGAAAGAAAGAAAGAAAGAAAGAAAGAAAGAGGGACAAATAAAGAAAGAAAAAACAAATTGAGAGAAAGAAGGAGAACGATAGAACCAGAGAAAAACAGAGAAACAGAGAAAGATAGAAAGAGAGAAAGAGAGAAAGAGAGAAAGAAAGAAAGAAAGAAAGAAAGAAAGAAAGAAAGAAAGAAAAATAGATACATAGATAGACACAGATACCGATAGAAAGAGATAAAGATAGAAAGAGATAAAGATAGAAAGAAAGATAAACAGAGAGAAAGAGATAAAAAGAGAAAGAGAGAAAGATGGAAAGATGGAAAAAGAGAAAGATAGAAAAATAATAAAAAGACAGAAAGAGAGAAAGAGAGAAAGAGAGAAAGAGAGAAAGAGAGAAAGAGAGAAAGAGAGAAAGAGAGAAAGAGAGAAAGAGAGAAAGAGAGAAAGAGAGAAAGAGAGAAAGAGAGAAAGAGAGAAAAGAGGAGAGAAAGAGAGAAAAGAGGAGAAAGACAGAAAAACTGAAAAGAAAAATATAGAACAGATAGAAAGGAAGAAAGATAGAATGAGATAAAGATAGAAAGAAAGATAGAAGAAAGAAAGGGAGAAACAGAGAAAGAGATAAATATAGAAAGAGAGAAAGATAGACAGAAAGAAAAAGAAGGAAATAAAGAAAGAAAGAAAGAAAGAAAGAAAGAAAGAAAGAAAGAAATAGAGAAAGACAGACAGACAGACAGACAGACAGACAGACAGACAGACAGACAGACAGACAGACAGACAGACAGACAGACAGAAAGAAAGAAAGAAAGAAAGAAAGAAAGAAAGAAAGAAAGAAAGAGCGAAAGAGAGACAGAGACAAAGATAGACAGAGACAAAGATAGAAAGAAAAGAGAAAATGATAGAAAGAGAGAAATATAGAAGAAAGAAACTATAAAAATAATAGAAGAGAGAAAGGGAGACATTGAGAAATATAGAAAGAGAGAAAGATAGAACGAAAGAACATAGAAAGAGAGAAAGATAGAAGGAGAGAAAGACAGAAAGAAATAACGATAAAGCAGAGAAAAAGAGGAAGAGGGAAAGTTAGAAAGAGATAAAGACACGGGAAAGACGGATAGCCAGATAGAGAGTCAGAGAAAGATGCGCAAACGGAAATGGAACGAGAATAGAAGTAGAAACAGGCAGTGGTGGCAGAGAAGATTCAGAAACGGCGGTGAAGCTTTGGGCCAAAAGCTGTTAAGCACAGCACCTAAACAGTCGCACTCCCATGGGTGTTGTCACATATCTCTGTAACATCTCTCTGACATCTCTGCGAACAAGAATCTCTCCTCTGCGGAATCTCTGCGCGTCATGTTCTTCTGTGTCTCTTTGAGCAGTCTCTCTGCGAAATGCCTCTGAGACCTCTGAGCCATCTTTCTGCGACACTCCTCTGTGCAATCGCTCAAATGAGCTTACCGGAAAAACACTTCGCCATGTGTTTAAGGAAAATGTAAAAGGAAAGAGCAACTGAACGAGGCAGAGAGACAGAGAGAGAGAGAGAGAACGAAAGAAAGAAAGAAAGAAAGAAAGAAAGAAAGAAAGAAAGAAAGAAAGAAAGAAAGAAAGAAAGAAAGAAAGAAAGAAAGAAAGAGGGAGAGAACAAGACAAGGAGAGAGAGGGAGAGACAGATTTAAAAAAAGAAAGAAAGAAACAAAGAAATAAAGAAGCAAGAAAGCAAAAAAAAAAAAAAAAGAAAGACAGAAAGATAAATGAGAAGGAGGTGTTTTTTGGCATACCTCTGGCATTAGCCTAACTCTGGCAATGCCTGGCGTGCACGAAAGGAGATACTAACGGACAAAGGTTTGGGGTTGGTTTAGGGTAGTCCGTTTAGGGTAGGTTCAGGCCTGGCTTTTCACCATCCTCAGCATCACCAGGCTTTGGTTGGCTGGGTTTAGGATGGGTTCCAGGTTGGCTCCGGGTGGGTTCCAGGCCTGTTGAGAGCAAATTTGGGGGTGGCTGTGCTTGAGGTCGATGGTTTAGTGCTGGTTTATGGTGGGCTTCTTGGGGTTGGTCTCGGATGGGTTTCGGGCTGGCTTAGGGTGGGTTTAGTGTTTAAGCGTGCTTAGGGTGGTTTAAGGTAGGGTGCTACCTGAAACCACCCAAGTGGGCTTAAACACAACCATGGCCGAAGCCAATTTTTAACCCACCCTAAACCAGCTCTAAACCCACCCAAGACCAACCCCAAAAAGCCCCACCATAAACCAGCACTAAACCATCTACCTCAAGCACAGCCACCCCCAAATTTGCTCTCAATAGGCCTGGAACTCACCCGGAGCCAAGCCTGAGCCAACCTGGAACCCACCCTAAACCCAGCCAACCAAAGCCTGGTGATGCTGAGGATGGTGAAAACGATGCTGAGGATGTTAAAAGATGCTGGGCCTCAACCTACCCTAAACGGACTACTCCAAACCTACCCTAAACCTCCCTGAACCCATCCCAAACCTTCGTCCTACCGAGGCGCCAACCAACTGACCAACCAACCAACCAACCAACCAACCAACCAACCAACCAACCAACCAACCAACCAACAAACCAACCAACCAACCAACCAACCAACCAACCAACCAAGCAACCAACCACCTGCCAGGGTTAGCCCTGTGCCAGGGCTAGGCCAAAAAAACACACCAGTTCCAACAAAGAAGACAGGACAAGAAGGAAAGGAGAAGACAGAGACAGCGGGCGCAAGGGAAACCACATGATTCAGGGTTGTGTCAAAGTGAATCTGCAGGATCTCCACAATTGAAAGAACCGATCACCGGCCCCCATCACCGAGGCGCAGATGAAGACGCGGGCTCCGTGCCCGCAGATGCAGCGGCTGCACCTGAAGCGCAGCCCCGGGCCGCAAGTGCGGAAGCTGAAGAAGCACTGCGCCATGAGGCCGGCTCTGAGCTCTGAACCGAGTCGCGGGTGCAAATGGCCGTCGGTTTCAGCAGCCAATCAAAGCAATCCCTAGCACGCACTGCCAGCCGTTGGACCATTGGACCGTTCAGGCTGCAGAAAGTGCTCATACACGGAAAGCACATTTAGCGGAGCACAGCGTTGAGAATGTGGCACCATGGCCACTACAGTACCGCTCTAATATCAACTGCAACGTCGTTTATTGTCACATGCTGCAACCAATATGGTTGTCATCGATGCCAAAAACGACTCCCCATGTTGGTGTTCTTGTTTTGTCGGTTTGCCAGATAATATGAGGCATTTGCAATTGAAATCACAAGAAAGACGGACACGGTATGCAAAACCACTTTACAAGGTCCGAAGGTGACACGTGCACTCGCTGGCGTGGCTCTGGTGTGGATTGGTGGCTTTGGGAATTGAAGCCCTGGTTCTTGTTCATGGTAGACGGGAAACCACCTAATGTCCAAAGCACCAAGCCAAACCACCAATAGGTGGGAAGCTCATCATTTATATCGGTGGAGTTATGTCCAACCACTTTGGAGGGAGTCTCGCTCGGCAACCGCCAAGCTCATCCAACCACTCACAAATGGGGGGAGCGTTTGCGGGTACCCTTTATTGAGGGTTTGTTTCAAAGGGAAATCAAAGGGAAAAACCGCCATTTTAGGGGGCTCCAAAACCCCCAAACTTTAAGCCTGCAAGAATTTGAAGCAGGAAGCCTGGACAGCGCAAAAGGGGTCTTTCAAAGCCACTGGTGATCCTCGCATTTTGAATCCCAAGAGCTTTGTTGCGAACCCAGCAAACAAGAAAAGCAACCTCTTGTTTGGTGAAACCATGTGGAAAGGACCCCTGGCTCCATGTGATTTTTCCCCGAGCTTTTGGCCCAAAAGTTCATCATTCCCAAAGGTCACATTCGCCGAAAAAGCCCGCGTCCACAGGTTTGCTTAGATGCCAGACATTCATCTCAATGCGGTGTGGGGTGGCAATTTCGGTCGGCTTTACAGAGCCACAAGAACCTCTGCAGCCGAACACTTCTCAAACCACAAAAAAGGGCGTTCCCGTTCCTGGCGATCCGTTCTATCCGTCTTGGAGTCTTTTGGAGGGTCCCTAGTTCTGAGACAAAATCAAAGGCATGCCAGTACGTTGCCTGAGCTTATGTGGTTGCCCAGGCACAACATGCTGGAACTACAAAGCGCTTCGGCCACGATCACAATGTGCTGTACGCGCCAAAGACATGGGAAGTTAGTGGTTCCCCTATTGTTTGTGAGTAGTATAGTGAGTCCCCTTCCTCCCAAAGTGACCATATGGGTGGATCTCACGTGAGTCAAGTCGGCCGCGCCAATCACCGCCATCAAAACAGAGTCAAAGTAGCCAAGATACCGGAATCACCGGCCTGATCTACAAGATGAAAAGGGCACTCTTCACCTCACAAAAAGTTACAAACATCCACATTCGCTGTTTGACCGTCTCGTGAGGCGGCGAAGCGCGGCGTGGGGCCCTGGCGCCGTCGCGAAGAAGCAGTGGGCGAAGAAGGCCAAGCACAGCACCGAGAGCACCGAGAAGAAGCTACGCTCCTCGGATCGTCGAAGCGATCGGGGCAGGTCAGATGCTTTTTTCAGGCGAAGGGCACCCTTTTGTGAGGTTTGGGTTGAAGGGAAAGCAAAAGGAAAATCGACATCTATTTGGGGACGCCACCCTATTGTGACACATACCCCTGAGGACAAACCGCACCACATAATTGGTGGTTTACTCCAGTATTCATAGGGGTTCACCACCCGTCTCAAGTGGATTGCGTCCAAGTTTTATCGAAACCTGATGGGTCAGGGCAACCGATACCTTTTTGTTGCCATCAAGTTTCGGCATCGAGCCGCCTGAACTGGGTGGTCAAAACTCCCATTCCCGTGGCCCCTTGGGGCCAAATCCACCCCACCTCTTACCTCCCAAAAAGGCCTGAAACTGAGTCGGCTCCTGTCTACACGCAACAGCAAGCCAATGGCAAAACGAACTTGCCATAGCCGGCTCAAAAGGAACCTTTCAAATCCTGTTCGGCATTCTCAGCTGGTCAGGAACAAGGAAAATAAAAGCAAAGGATGAAGACACGTGATATGTCTGCCCCAAATGTCAACCAAGTCAATGTGAGACCTCGACCATCAGCATCCAATCTCATTGCTCCCGAAACGGAGTAGCGAACATATGCGTCTGTTGAGCCGTCCTGCAAGGAAAGTAAGAGTGAACCATGTTGATGTACATGTGCCAACGGGACAAGAATCAAAACAGGGGGACCCCAAAGTTCCTCTTTATTTACCTACCTTTAAACCCAAAAAAGGCACGCAAAACAACACACACACACACCTAGATAGCAGGAAAAAAGGCTTTGCCGAAGCGACGACAAGCAAAAAGCGGTTCAAATGTTGTGAACATGCGGACGAATAGCATGAAGCGCTTCAGATGAGGCAGCTCCTGTAAATTGACCTCCAACGAGTTGCGTTGATCTGCATCTACTGAGGCAGCGATCATGGAAACCCAGCATTTGGGTGTGTTTGCAGAGACCACAAAAAAACCTGGTCGTCCTCTCCTACCGCGCCCTTAATTGCAGGACCGCCCTCTTTAGAAGCAAATTTGAATGCCCCTTCCGCAACGACTCCCTTCCAACCACCAGCCCAGGTTCCCTTCAAACCAACCCACAGAATCCCACCGTTCACCCAAAAAATAGGGGCGGAAAAAAAAAAACGCGAACGCCCTCAGCTTTCAGCTCAAGCGGCGTCGTCGCAACTGCCCTCCGCCGCGATGCTCAGCACTGCCTGGAGAGGACCATCACCAAGCCCAAATGACGCCAAACGGATGGCAAGATTCAGTAGTTCGTGGTTTGGATTGGTGAGTTGGGGATTTGAACCCCTGGATCTTGTGGTAGATGGGTCAATTGGAAGGAAGCTGATGTCATCTACGAGTTCTCCCCTCCAAACAAAAATACGCCCCCGAAAAAACGGCTCGGCAAGAATTTGGCCCAGGTGTGGGTCCCGGAAAGGGCTCGAAGAGTGATATGGGAGGGAAAGTGTGGCCATGGCAATGAAGGGCAAGGTTGAAAATGGGAACTCAGCCCAAAAACTCGGGGCGAGTGATCCAATGTTTAAAAGGGCGGGAAAAACTTGGGTTGGAAGGTGGACCACAACTACGAAGGGCATGGGAAACTTAGGGCTCGTCCCCTGGGCTTTGTAGAAGACTGAGGGCTAGTTCCCCCATGTCCCTCCCAAATGGACCATAGACTACCGGATACTTTGACCAAACCTCACATGTCGGTGCTCTGTGATTTGGTTCCCTGTTACCATACCACATGGGTCTGTCTCTAAATGCGTGCCTGGCACAACATGGCCGGAAATGATGCAATCATTAAAACAACGACACGCAGATTGACTGGTGAATTTCGTGGTTCGGTTTGACCACCAAGGTTCCCTGCCTAAAAGGTTCCTTGGATATCAAAAGGCTCCCTTTCAAAACTGACCAGGTTCCTTGGTTATCAAAAGGTTTCCTGGAAATCCCCTATTGGTTTCCCTGCACTACCGCTTGTTGGTCCCGAGCCAAACCTTAAAAAGTTCCCTTTAAGAGCTTCTGTTGCAAACCCTTCGTCCTTTTCCCCTGGATTTTCAATCCGACGCGCCTGCTGTGGCCCGAAGCGCGCCACGAAGGCGCTGGGGTCGTCGCGGCCCAGCCTCGGCGAAGCTCGAACGAAGCAACCGAGAGCGTCACCCAATGGTTCGTCCGTTCGTGTCTTCTCCGGACGCGAATGTTGCTCCACCCGTCTTCGGACGGAAAATGAGGGCATCTAGAGGGAAAACAACCCATGTTGTACCTTTTGTTGAGGGGAAATTAGCGAATCTAGAGGGAAAACAATCCGTGTTGAAAATCCATCATTTGCGTTCATGAAGGTAACAAAGTCAACGTTACCCTCTAAGACTCTGTTCTTAAAACTCATAGCCATGTGATGATGGTGGTGTTTTTTTTTGGTTGGTTTTTTTCTTTTCTTTTTTCCGGTTGCCAGTTGGCGTAGACAACAGTCCCCTTTCACGAAGATCCCTTCACGCGACGGATCGGCTTCCCGCAGCTTCACCATTTGCGTGCCATCCACCGCTCCGAGCGCCAAGCGGCTACTCTCTGCGTGCGTCAAAACACAGGTCTGCAAAACATGGGCATCTCTCCCGCTCAACGAGCATGAGGAAAACATGGAGGGCAAATCAAAACGAATGTCTGGAAAACGATTCGAAGGGCATCTTTGCCCCGACCAAAATGGCCAATGACGACACTGGGCCTAGTCGCAGCTACGGGACAAACAAGCTGCTGGCTACCAGCCTAGGCCTTGCGGGGGAATCGGAGGAAAAGGTGACGAGGTCAGGGTTCCCCATGTTCCCGCCTTTAACGGCCACCCCACCAAAAGGGGAAGCTTTTGTCATCAAAACAAGCCCAAGAAGATGCCTTCCCCCAGCACACAACAAACCAAATGTCACACACCCCGGTTGCAAAACTTGAGGGATGGGATCCCATGGTGCAGCTGGGATCCGCGCTCGCAGCTCAGCAACAAAGGCACCTCAGAAACCCGCGAATCGGCTGCAGGAAACATCACCTCAAGGCTACCAAGAGCCTCGTGGATGGCATCTGTGTGTCTTTCCAACCTGAAAGGGGGGTCTTCCATTTGGCTAAGACCCCTGGAAAAAAATAAAAATATGTCCAGTAGTGATAGATTCCCTTTTAAACTAACAGGGGAAAACAAAAAATAGTCTTAAGCAAATGGAGAGGGTTGGAAGGCTGGAAATGTTCGTACTTAGGGGCCTAAGGAGACGTCGGCTGGTTTGCCTTGCCCGCTTAGGTTGTGACGCTGAACCCGTCCTACTAAAGGGCTGGAGTCAAGGTTCAGGTCCACACGAGCTCCGAGCGACAACAGAGAAAGCATGGGCAAAGAAGCGGTTTGCATTTGATTGCACAAGCCATCCGCCCACCAAGATGTGCACTACTTGCAATGTGAAAGGCCAAAAGCTCTTTGGTAACTGAACAGCACAATTGGCCGACAATGCTTTGTGAGAGACGCCACGTTCAATCCCCCACTTAACATGACCCAACCCCTAGCCTTTCGACTTGGCCGCTGACAGGACTGCCTCAATGCTGAAATTGCGACCACGCCTACCCTGACTATGGCTTGATTGCAACTGTAAGGTAGCCAAGCGGTCCGGATTCACATCCTTCTCTCGCAACTTGAGAGGGTAACAGCCTGCTGACATGGAAGATTCCGGTTGTGTCTTTTTGAGGGTGCCCCTTGTTTGTGGGATTAAAGGGAAGCCACAAGGAAAACCCACCATGTTGGTGGGGGGGGTGCCCTCTCCAAAACACAAACGGACAAAGGAGGCGCAAAAGGTTTGGGTTGGAACCATCCTCAATACCTGGGGGTTCTACCAGACCTCATTTGGTTGTCCACGGGTGGAATACCTATGGATTTGTCGTTTTAGGAAGCCAACCGGCCCTTTTCTGGTTTGAGAGGACAGCCAAAAGGAAAACCGAAAGAACCCCACAGGAAAAAAAATGAAACCCAAAAGAACATGAACAAGAACCATCAAAACCAACAAGAAACCTAAAGGAAAACCAACAAGAACCCAAACCAAAGCCAAAAAAGCAAAGGAAAACCAACAAGAACAAAAAACCAAAGGAAATCAACAAGAACGAAAACCAAAACCCAAAAAGAAACCCAAAGGAGAACCAAGACCCACATCCAAGCATTGTGTTTGTCCCCGACTTCTCCGACATAAGTGGAGTCTGAGTTTTCTTTGCGCCAAGGCCAACGCATCTAAGAGGTACATCAGCGGCCACGCGAGGATCCGAGTGGCCTGGATCCGCACGAGACATGCGCCTCAAAAACCCAAGAGTTGGTCGCTTTTTGAGCCATATTGACTTGCTTTACCCACTTGTTGCCGCTGGTGTAATCATGCTTGTGCATTTTGTTTGATGGGTTTGGGGCTGGCTCTAAACGTGCAGGATGTCCTTGTGGCTTCCCTGCAAAAACAACCCCAAAAGGGTGTGCCCAGACCCAAGTAAACGAAACAATTTGGGATGTAACATAACCCAACCTGGCCCCAACATGACTGCGGCACAGAAATGAGGCACATGCTCCATCTTAATAACATATTGCTTCAGATCTGGGATCTTTGCTGGCTTGTTGGAGAAAAACCAAGTCTGCAGCAATGTGGGTGTGTCTTTTTTTTCGAGGGTACCCTTTTTGGTGGCTGTAAAGGGGCCCCAAAGGAAAACCACCAATTTGGGGTTCCGGAAAAAAAGACACACCTGTGTGTGTGTGTGTGCCAAGCAAAGACTTGTTGGAAGACTTTGTTCGCTGCGAGAGAGGAACTGAGTGGGGATGGAGGCAGTTTCCTGTTGCAAAGCCTTGATATCAGGGGTGTGGCCACGAACGTCGCAAGCATCCAAACCAGAAATTGCATAGGAAGAGTCATCTTTGCAGTTTGTTTTTCAAAAGCAGCATCGTATGTTCAACAACTCCTAGTGCTTCAATCATCCCTTGTAAAAAAGCGCTCTTGGGAGATGTCAAAAATCCGTCCGACAATCTCAAGCGCAGGATTTCCTTGTCATTGGTCTCGTACCTGACTCGAAACGGACGAAACGCATAAAATAGATGGTCCTGATAAATGGGGCTTAAAACCAATCTAAACCAGTGGAACCCATCTATCCTTAACCAACCGATCAAAAAGACACCTATGCATTTGTACAATCACTGCAAACCTGAAATGCGTGCAGACTAAAAGAGTCGGTCGACTGGACGTACTTCGAGTCGCTAGACGAGACTAAACCAAGAAGCGCCTCCGACTCTCTCAAACCAACGATTTGCAGATATGGTAGTCGTACAGGAATATGGCCGTGAGTCAAAAACCCGTACCCCCAGTGAACATCCCAATCTCCACTAGAATAGACTAAAATGGGTGGTGCACCTACCTGAAAATGGTACCAATGGTTTTGACCCACAGCCATATGCCTTCTGAACGGCCCACCACAGAATCAAACGACCGCGGGGCGCAATGGTTGATGCGACATTCTTATGTCCCTGGCTGGAGGAGCGGGTAGATGGTGGAAGTGACATATGCTGGCCTAGTGCTTGAACTCACTTTGGCTCGTGGCACTCTACTGAACATCGGGCCTGTTCCAGTTGCCCCCCAGAAAAATGAAGAAACTACCCCAGTAGTTCCTTTCATGCGCTGCGGGTGTACCAGCGTGAGGGGGGGTTAAGAGAATTCTGATATGTCCAAAACAAAGCCGCGCCTGATAGTAGTAGAAGGCGCGAATGAACCCCTCCTGGGTACCGCCGAAAAAGGGGTGTGCACCATGCGATCGATTATCTGGTCCCATTTCCGCCCCTGTGAATGGCAGGTGCACTCGTGAAATGTCGAACCTCTTCAGTTAAAGGAGGTCAACATCCATGAACTCGAATGTTTAGCTGCAGAGTTGGAATAATGTCCCTCGAATCTACCTTCAACATAAGCAACCATGACTTCAACACGGGCTTATGCAGGTGTGGCACATTATATGACAAAACATGGCTCGCTGAGTCACTGGCTCAATCTTTCGGATGTAACAAAGAAGCCTGTCATGCCAAAAGTCGCTCACGGTGGTTTGCCTTGTGGGATGTTCATCACGTTCAGCAGTGATCTTGCATATTTTGTTGAACCGTCTCTGTCCTTCCACTTCAGGTTGATATGTATTAAATATGATTTAATGAAATACGGTGGGGGGAAGAAATGTTGCCTGACTTTTGAAATAGACCCATACCATCTTGTTTCGACTTGCCCGGCACCGCCGGATTAGCATTGGTGCTCAGTTTGGCCAAGTTGGGTTGGGTCACGCAAGATTTTCGTCATGAGGAACCTACGAGCGCTGTTGCCCGTTGCAGCTCAATGTTAAGTAGGGGGCGTGGGGTGGCAAACGTGTCGTCTTGTAAACCCATGCAAGATTTATTCCATCAACAGTATGACGTGCAATAAGTGCATAGTGATCGTCTGCAGCAACATCAACAAATTCTCTGGTGACTTGAAAATGAGAGGATCGTTAAAGCAGAATTGTCCAACACACAGTCATGACCCAATTATATACATTGTTCAGGCAAATTTGCTTGATGCAACACTGTTGGATATGTAAGAATCGGTCTTATCTTCAACCCAATTGAGCATCCCATCATAATCTTCTGTATATGTTAAACATGCTCGGAACTACATTGACCGATTTGTTCTTCTTGTTTTTGGGGAAATCGCAGCCTACTTGGTCATCGAGTACAAACTCAATATAGAATGAAACCAAAATAAGTCAACGAGCACGAACAATGCTGAACACATCAACATGAGATAAAACAGCAATTAACAAATATGAAATGATGGTGACATGTACAACAAGGAACGTTGTCTTGTTGGATTGGCTGAGGAGGTGTGATGAAATCTGTTGCACTGGATGTTTGCTGTGAATTACTCGTTGGATTCATACAAAAATGTTGCGGCCAGTCTTGAAAGCTAAGTGCCAGCTAGGATTCAAGAAAAGCCGAAAATATGCACATCAGCATCAGCATTCGCATCAAGAGGTGAAACAGAACCAGCTTGTGTCAAGACACAAATTCCAAAAGGCCGCCCCAGGGTTTGGGTCAGGCCGCGTGCGCGGTCGACCCCTTCCATCGCTGAGGGGGTTCCAGCTCCGATGTCAAGTGCGCTCAAGGCTCAATTTCCGCAGTGCAGAATGTCCTCCACTTTGGATTGGAAGGCCGAAGTCAAGGATTGCCTTTGCTCTCCAGTTGTGACCTATCGGCAATGAGTCAGGCAGCAAAGCCAACCTTGCGAGTCCATCCCAGAAGTATGTCATCATCTAAGTTCTTCTCCGCGTCCCTGAGATCCTGGAAGTCTCCAACCCCTAAACTCATCAAAATGCCGAAACAACCAGCGTACTCCCCCAGCAAAAACACACACACAGTCACACACACACACAGTCACACACACACACACACACATCTTGATCTCCTTTAGACATCTCTTGAAACCGAGATCCTGAGTCTCCAACAACAGCAGAAAAAAATACAACACGCACACACATGTTGATCTCCACGTGCATTTCAGATCTTCAGACATCTCTTGGAACCGAGCTTTCGCGCAAACGGGAACCCCGTTCCGTCGCCCCTCTGGGCATCCCCCACCCGCAAGTAGAGCGCCCCGTAGGCGCCCAGGCCGCCCCAGAGCATCGCCTGGGATCGTAGACCAGGCGGCACTTGATGAATCCGGTCCTCTTCCCCACTTGGCTTTGGCTTGGCTTGGATTCAACCCATGCCGCGGTAAAACTGTAGCTGTACAAAGCACTTAGGTGGCTGCAAGAATTCAACCCATCGTGCCCCAGTATAAGCTAGGTCCTCCAGTAGAGAGGCTAGGATAAGGGTACCCTTTTTTTGTAGTCTATTTTAGTAGGGGAACCCTCCCAAAAATTGTAAAAGGGCGCTACTGGGGGACCTAGTAACCGCAACTTCAAACCGCGCTCAGGTGCCGGTCCGTGTAGTTTTGGGGACGCTGATCAAGTGACAGCATTGGAGAGTGTCAAATCATGCCCCAAACCCCAGAGAGACAACTTCCACCAGTGGTGGGAACAAAAGGTTGCGCTGGAAAGGTCTGCGGGCTTAGCAAGGGACTGATTGGGGATCTCTTGGTGCACATCGTTTATGTTGGGACGTATGCCCACCAACCAGTTGGGATGTATGCCCACCACCCACTTTCGAGGCGGTTCCGTGTGAAAAATCATGGCCAATGAGTTGCAGTACGCGCCCCAAGTACTGAGAGCCCGCACGGAGAGGTCCAGCAGATCGATCCTGAACGCTGAGCCGGATGTGGGTTTGCCCACTGGTTCTGCAAGACAACATACGGGGCACCCCCAAAAAAGTTAAGAATCTGTTGTCAGGCAACGAACTGAAGATGTCATAACACTGCGACACACACGCCGCCTGTCAGAGCGGCCAATACGATTCTCACCACACAGTCTCCGGCAATTCGCTTGCCGAAGTCTGCGTAGACATGCCAGGTTTTGGTGGGTTTGCTTAACGCGCCGCCTCTCGCCGATGTTTCGGTGGATTTGCTGAACGGGCAGAGAGACCAAAACTCGCAACAGAGTGCTCCGGAAATTGGCTCGCCAAAATCTGCATTGATGATAGTGCAGCATTGGCACTCTCTTGCCCGAGTTTTGGGGAATTCCGATGTTTTGGTGGATTTGCTGGACGCGCTGCCTCTCAAATGGCTTCGACAACGCGAGCTGATAGCCAGAAGCCAGAGCTCCGGGAAGACTGAGGGAAGACTACGATGCCGGGACCCGGCGCACCAGTGGCACCTGCGCAACTCTGAGTCTCGGCCTGCACACCCTGCAGCAGCACCCTGCGCAACTCTGAGACTCGGCCTGCGGCAGCACCGTGCAACGGCACCCTGCAACAGCGCCCTGTAATAGCACCTGGCCGGAAGTCTGAGTCTAACCCAGGAAAAACAAAAAAGAGACACAGTTTTTAAAGAGGAACCGCTTTCTTGGGCTCTACGCTAATTTGCCCGGAAGCAATCCGGAACCAGTGCACAGCACTTCAGGAGTGTCGTGGCACCCCAAGCCCTAGCTGTGAAGTCCAACGGTTCAACCTCACAAAAGCCACAACCCAAAACCCAAAATTAATCCCACAGCGCCCCTCAAACAAGCAACCGATTTCGGCGCCGATAATCCGGACCGAGGCACAGGGCCCGGCTCCAGTCGGAGTAGCCCCCCACAAAGGCGCGCCGGTCCTGGGAGCCACTTGAAGGCGACACAATGGCGAAGCCATCTGGCCATGGGTCAAAATCCCGGTTAGCCCCCAGTGAACATCCCAATCCCCACTAGAATAGACTACACTTGGTGGTGCACCTACCCCAAAATGGTACCATTGGTTTTGACCCACAGCCATCTTGCTGGCGCGAGAAGTACGGAATGTGGTTGAATGAACCCAAATGGGTCCATTCCCTTAAAGGAAACCACGAAAAATGGTTCATATGGCCGTGGCTAACAAATTAAACAGGAGGGGTTACGCAAGTTTGGTCCATGTTTCCACTTACCAGGGTTCCATTTTGGGTACCGGTTTTTTGAGCCACGGCCATATTCGTCTGCCATGTCTCATTCCCTGCTGAGCGCTCCTCCTCCACAGCCAGGTGCCACCGCAGCAGCAGAAGCCCTTGCAGGGAGCAGCCTCGTTGTCGAAAGGAAAGGCAGCCCTGAAATGCATCCCCCTTTTGAGTAAGGGCAAGGACCCAAACCAAATGATGAAAGTGTGTAAGTAAAAACAAAAGTAGGTTATTAACCTCCTTGCGTCTATGGTGCTTGCAATCCCAGGGGCACCGTCATCGCTGGTCCAGCAAAATGGACCCCTCCTTTACCTCATGAACCAAAGAAGGAAAGGAGACAAAGGAAAAACAGAAAGCAACAAAATGAAAAGAACCAAGCAAGATCAACACCCAAAAATGAGATGACAGAGCCTGCATGCTGCGCCCATATTCAGCAGGTTCGATGAGCCTTGTAGGCAAGGACGAAGCACGCCAACTGTTCGTATGGCTCCTCAAAAGCTACAAGATTCATGAACCCCATCTCAAGTGAATCCCGTGAACTCCTTGAGGGTCGCTGAATCCCATCATATAGAAGCTCCCTTCAAAACGCTGAATAGAAGCTCCCTTCAAAGCAACCCAATATGGACATTTGGAGCGTGAGCAACAGGCAAAAAGGGTTTGGCAAAGTCGCAAATCCAAGCGCCGCATCTGAAAATTCAGTTCAGGCCCTGACAACAAATGGGCACAGCCCAAAACAGAACCATGAGGTAAAGAAATATGGAGTTCTCTCATAGGGTACACCAAAATGGGTGGTTCCCTTGAAAACGACCCCTGAAAAAGGCTCAGCCTCGAGAAACACTTACAAACCTACAAGGAGGACGCGGGTAAACCTAGCCAGGGGCTACAAACTCTGCCACGTGGCCGGAACTCTCACCTCGCTGGAAACCTAATGCCCAAGAAAATCCTCACTGCCAAGCGTGTGCGAGAGAAAAACAGTTTGGGTATGGGTCAAAATTAAACAACCAGGAAGTGGACCGGACCGCGGGTTTCAGTCCTTTCCATTTGCCAGGGTTCCATTTTGGGGTAACCCCATTTTTAACAACCACAGCCAAATGGGTAAGGGCCCACCAACCGACCAGGGACCCGCCCCCGTTTGGGGCTTCCCTTGCCCCGCCCAACCGAGACTCCCACCTCTCGCAACCGAGGCCCCCGCCCGCAGCAGTCAGGAAGGTGGCGGTGCGCACTGGCACACCTCAGCCCAAAGGCATTCCAAAGGTCGGACGGCCGAAAGTGTCGCTCACTCCGCCAAGCAAGGGGTACCTTCCAATTCCATTCTTTCCAGGGATCCAAATCTTTCCAGAAAACCGCCGGAAACCCAGGGAAAACGGATCCGGTTTTTGGAAAGAACGATGGTTGAAAAGAATGGGGAATCAAGCCCTAGAAGCAAGGCATTCGTGGCGCAATAACCGAACCCCCATCTACTTCAGTCGTTTTTTCCCCAAAACCCTGATGTTACTGCATCACTAGAGAACTCAAGTCTTCCCAAATCCCTGTCAGCTTCCATGCTTGGAAAAAAGAGAAAACCCAAAAAGGAGCCCACCTGCGCTTGCCAAGCCAGGGCCCCGGCACCCAAAAGCCATGGGATGCAGGCCGACCCAGCCTGCAAAGCGGATGGATCCCAGGCTTCTGGGAGGTTCGGGGGGGGGGGGGGGGGAGGTTGAATGGATGTCACAACATCCCATCACACCTCCAGCTCGGCTGATCGCCTTTGAGCCGCAGTGAAGCTGTCTGCTGCTTTGCTCCAATGCCCCCTTTCGTCACGTTCCGTTCGCGCGGAGAAAGGCTTGCACTTCGTCACCTGGCACCATTCCCATCCCACTTTCCCGGGCTCCCCGACCATTGGACTCCTGCACTCCCCCCTTGGAGGGCCTCAGCTTCGCCGCGTCTTTTCTCAGAAGCCGTGCTGCCTTTGATTTCGGGGGGGTCAAGCTGCGAGTTTCACGGGGCCTGCTAAGTTCATGGGAAGGGAACCTGAGAACAAAAGGGCCGTGAAGCGCTGAGTGAGTCAGCGCTAAGAAGTTTGGAAAGGGTTGGTTCATGTTGACCTGCTGGCTGAGGCCCCAAACCATTCTATTTGAGACCTGGTGAATCCACAGAGGCCCAGTGGTTCGCCCCCCACACGGGTCTCTTACTAGCTGGAATGCAAGGGCTTCGGACACCGAACGCGGAGAACACCTGCCCCCATTAGCTTGCTCAGGCAAAGAAGAAAAAACAAATACTTGCCCCCGCGTAAGACTAACTACAAACTCTAGTTGAAAAGAAAAGCTCGTGTGATCGATTTTGATTGGAGCCCTTTGGTCGACATCATTTACGTAAGGATGTATTTCCACCAAGCATGTCTGAGGGCTTTCCCCTTTGAAATTCTTAGCCATCTGCTTGCTGACAGTTGGTGAACAAAGAAAGGGGGCCCACCCCGACTGACTAGAGCCGCCTCCATCATGGCTAAGTGGATGGCTTCTTGGAGCCCTTGCGACATTTCATGTCCGCCCCATTGGTCAGACGGTTCCTGGCACTCTAACATCAAAAACAGCCTACACGTCTGCCAAGGCGCCTGGTCATGGGCTCACCCGCACTCCAAGTGGCTGAAAAGTTGAAAAGTTAAGACATCCGAAATGCTTGGCCAAGTGCGCCGAGCCCCGCGCATCTCGCGCCAGAGGAGCCAGGCGTCAGGGCCAAGGCGCGACAACGACCTTCGGGGGCGACTTTTCGGAGAGTCGGGTCCTAAAAAAAAACCCGGCCTATCCTCCAAAAGACTTCACAAGGAAGGCAATGTTGCCTTCTTGTTGACTGTGCGGGGATGGCATGAAAGAAGTTTCACCCCTTACAGGCTGGCTTTGGGGTTGGGAACTCAAACACATATTATATACATATATATATATATAAGAACATATATATGTTCTGACAGGTATGACTCCCATTTTGTGGCACCCAGGATGTTTGGCCGCTTCACCCACTCTCAGAAGGAAACTGGCGCCTACACATATCTGGTGGGAACTTGAGCCCTGAGCCATCGTGAGGATATGGCATGTCATGAAAATGGCTGGGCTGGTTTTATCAGTCCTGAAGGACTGCTGTAAGGGTGCGGATTTATTTTGGGTTTTTTCGTTTGTTTTCTTTGGTTCAAGCCAAGAAGCCAAAAGCGGAAAACAAAACTGCTGTTTTGCGCCTCTTGCCCTCCTGTCAGCAAGCAATGTATCCGGACGAATCAACATGAGTTCGCAAATAAACAGTAAGGGACCCTCAAGAAAGAATCTTTCTTACATGTGAGGTAAGACAGCTTTGTGAGGTCGCTAGGAGCTGCCCAGACTTGTGTACCTGTCCTGTGTCCTGCCAGAAGTGACAGTGGGCAACTTAAACCGTTGCTCAGCCCCTGCCAAACAAGCCTTGTCGATCTCCTACAGCTCATTCATCTCGGCCCAATGCCTTTGGGCCCGTCAAAGAACCCCATCAAGGGCAATATGAACCGTCTTACCCCAACAGCCGCATCCCCTTCCCAACAAACGGGGTCTTGACACTGCCTTATAGCGCCAAGTCGGTCTTTCATAGATGAGCCTCAAAAGGAACAAATCAAAACCAGGGGAACATCTCGCACAAGCCAGGCTGGAATTAGGACCCCAGCAAAAAAGTATACTTCTTTTGCCTGGTTAGTGGGAAACACAGGGACCCCAAAAAAGCGTAACAAACACAAAAAAGGGGAGCCGATTCTCGGGAAGCCTGTCGCAGCACCTTTGCTCGTGCTCGACCCGCCAAAGTTTCGGCGAGGTTCACAGAGCGAGCGAGCTCGGGCCCGAGCGGCCCGCTTCATTCCACTGGCTTCCAATGAGCCGCGAGGAGCGAAGGCGACAAATCAAATCATGGCCGCGAGCAATCGGGCCGTTTAAAGGCGAGGCTTCGATCTGGGGTGAATCTGTCAAGGCAACCAAGCATCAAGCGTCTTGGCCGCAACTCCGTTCCTTGAATATCTAAAATCACGCCAACCCTGCACCAAATGTCTTCCTGGTACCCTAAACCGAACCCTAAAGAGCAACCAAAGCATGAAAGCATTACACACACCAAAAAAGAAAACCAAGAACCTGCTAGTGTTAGCAGGCTCCGTGTCTCCAGAAACACGCCCGCGCCCTCCGGAAACCCTCCATCCGGCCGGTTGGCATTTGCTCCGAAAATCCCCGGTGACGTATTTGAGCCGCGGTCAGAATTCAGGTCCATTCCCAGTTGCATGGGGAATGGGTAGTGAGGATGGCGTTGATGAACATTGATGAAATATTCTGAATGATGAACGCCGAATTCTTGAGAATGACAATGAATACTGACGGTTGCTCATTTTGTTTGGCAGGCTCCGTGTGGTGCGGAGCGCTGACCCTGGTGAAACGTGACAGCGATTCCTTCTCCGCACAGTGGGAGGAACATGTCCGTGGGTTGAATCAAAACCTAAAAAACCAAAACGTGTCTCAAGTGAGGGACCGACCTAGAGACTCTTACAAGATGCGGTCCCTATCTCAGGTTGGTGTGTCTTGAAATAGGGGAGACCCAATATGGCGCCTCTTTGATTTCCCCTTCAAAGCCAGCACAAAAGGGTGTCCAACAAGAAACGGACCCTATGTCTTCAATCCCGAATCTGTTTTTTGCTCCTTTTAACTGTTGTGTTATGGGCCCGGAAATCAGGTTGGGCAAAAAAACAACAGGCTCCCCCATGACCGGTGTTTAGCCTGAATGTGACATCGTGGTTAGCTACTGTTGCTGACACAGGAAATGACGACAACATCATGTCTCGCTCTGAAAGCCATTGCATTCCCAAGCGAAGAGTTGTTTGCCTGCCTTCCAAAAGCTAGCAAGGTGCTTCGCATCCGGAAGCTCTCTGTAAAGACATCTCTTGTGGCTTTGTCTCAAAATGAAACCCCAAGTCCACTTGGCACAAAGCCATACAACTGGCGCCAAAGTTCTTTCTTCAGGGCTAAGGGCAGGGCTCGGAAGTTAGCGGACCTGGAGAAACCTCGCCTGTCACTCCGCGTGCATCGCAGCATTAAACGCGCGTCTTAAAGAGTCAACTACGGAAGAGAGCCGAGGCAGAACGCGGTGAGGCAGCTTGTTCCAATGCACTGGTGTTGAAGCCTGAGGTTTGCATGCTGTGTTGCCTTGAATTGACCTTAGCCAGCTGGCATAATACTGTTCACTTCCCAAGAACGATCACATGCGACTCTGACTTCAATGGCAAAAAATGGGCGTGCTTCAGCCGCAAGCCAAGAGAGATTTCCGGACAGTCATGCGAGCCTGCTCGAAAGTCAATTTCAAACATACCCCAGCGGCTGCACCAAATGTCAGAGCAAATCGGGCTCATGCCATAGAGACTTGAGTACCGTCAGAGGTTGATCCGATTCTCTTGAACTTCCTCATGCGGTGTGGGATTTGTGATGGCACAAAGCCTCACCTCTGCCTCTGGCAACTAATCGATCTGGCTGGTCGGGTTCCCCATGATCAGGCACACCGGTATCGCAAGCCTTCCACAGATCTATGCCGATCGCCGCTGGCATACGACACAAACTGCTCACATACCTGCCTACTCACTGACACCTCACTGCTCCTGAACACCACTAGTTTCAGTTGCCGTGAAGGCCATTGCCACAGACCAGGGAACACAAACCACATCCTTGTTGGACAGCAGATCACCAAAAGCAAGCGCTTTTGCTGTGCAGGTCAGGCGCTTACCTCTGCGGATGCAAGTGTGCTCATATCTGTAAGTAAAACACTAGAACTTCAAATCGATAATGGATCCTGAATCGATTGCCAACTCGATTTGACACAGCTTGGAAAGTTACCGTCGGCAACAAGTTGAAACCAGATGTTCCAAGGGCAATGCTTCTACATGCCCCCAGCAGCAACCGGACAAAAGCCCCTTCAACCACAGGTGAAGAAAGAGTTGGTTGCAGCCCCAAAAGAGAACACGCCTGTCTGTTCACAGCTCATCGTTAACCGCAAGTTCACGCTCTGACCCACTCCCAGCCGAAGCGGCGATGCAAATCCTGGGCGTCAAACAATCGTGATGCCGCCACCAGTACAGAGCGACCGCCAGGGCTTGCTGAACATGTGCCTTTCATAAACTGAAAACAACACATCTGAAGAGGTAGAAAAGCTGCGATTTGCTGGAGAAAACATGCAGCAAACCCGGAAGTCATCTCCACGCTTTGCGCAGCTCCATCGGCCAAACCGAGGCGGTTTGAAGCAAAGTCCGATGCTCAGAACTTGGTCTCTTCCAGTCACAACATGCCTCCCTAAGACCCGACTGGTAATGCTCCTCTTGGATGTGTCACCAGCTTGCGATCCTGCCTTTTCATTCAAGGAACAGGTGTCCATGACTCCAGGCAGGCGCTACGAGCCAAGTGGTTCCAACAGCCGGATGGGCTATGAGGCGAGCGGCCTTATGGCTGCGACGTTGCCCTCTTGCAGAGAGAACTGAGTGGATACCAGTCTATACTTGGTTGACGTTGGAAGGGGAGAAAAAAATTAAATCCTAGCAGTTAAGTGGGGATTTCCCAATAAACTCTCCCAAAGGCAACCATGTATCATTTCAAAACCAAGCAAGATTGCTGCAAAGCATTCGGTTGAGAGTGTGTTGAAAAGGGAGCTGGCACATGTACGACCGTCACTTTCCCGTCGGTTGCTATGCTTGCAACTGCTACGGTCTGCCAGTGCACGGAACCAAAACACTTATGGAACAATCCCCTCAACCCTTCTTTGACCCTCAGGTGAGTATGGCACAAATACGTCTGCTCAGCCCATCCCGCTACCCTCAGGCAGTGCCCTCAGTCACTGGGCGAGAGAGATCAGCGCATGCGGCACAGGGCCGGCAACAGGCTCTGCGCGGGATAGGCCTGCGAGAGAGAGAGAGAGAGAGAGACAGAGAGAGAGCTTGTGTTGTACTCCGTCTCTTTGCTTCGATTTGTTCGAATCTGCCTGCTACAAATGCTGTCTTCGAATCCATCCAGCATCCGCTGGCAAACAAACACACAGCCATGCGATCAAAAGTCGGAGCATCCTGAAGAGTTGAGCATTGCCTTTGGAACCCAAGAACTTTGGGAGGCTCCGATGCTGGAGCTAAGCCTGTCTCTCATTCGCTGAAACCAGATGCTGATGTCCCAAATATGCAACCCAGATACTGGGCTGGTCTGTTCCTCTGTCTTCCAGGTAGATTTAACACAATCCCCACCCCCAACAACCAAAAAGGAAAACCAACAAACATGAGTACCAGGAAATCGGTTCTTCTCTTTGAAAGTACTTGATGCGCAAAAATGTCTAACTCGCTATAATACAGGCACAGTTGCGTGCGCATCACACGAAGTCGGTCCGAGGACGTGGGAACCTGAATCTGTGAGGGTTCAAAGACCTGGCAGGTAGCTTAGATGGCAATATGGAGAGTGTTCCAATGGAGGAGATCATGTATCTCACTGCAAGTCTGTTGGATCATGGAGATGTGTTCTCACAGCCGGAAGGGCAACCCAAAATTCGTGCGAATGTTGGCCGAAAGCGATCCACATTCAAATGGAGCGCGGGGCTTCGATGGAATCTGACTTGGCTTGGGCTTTCACTTTTGCTGGTGCGATAAGGGCTGGGGATTTCCCTTAAAGGAAAAACCACCAGTTGGACGGTTTATACTAGTTGGATGGTTCATTTCGGGACTCCATTTTTCTCTTTCCCCGAGCACCAAGTGAAGTCTTGCGGCTTGGCCACTCGCAGCTTCCGTTTCAAGGCTCAACCCCGGCTTCAAGCCTCAGAACTCCGGACATTGGGCGACGCGACACCCGCGCGAAACACGCCCGAAACGACCAAAAGTGTGACAAAAGTGGGAATGAGTTCTTGTAATCAGAAGAGACGACTGAAACCCATCCAACGGTTCAGACCCCCAAAGTCCTCAAACAGGTGGAAACGGGCTGACAAGAAAAACCCATCCAACTCCCACAACCCCCCAAGAACTCCCCCCCCCCCCCCGCCGCCTTGGGCGCGCTGTGCGCTGCCTTCTCTGCCCTCAGGTGGGCCGTCAGCGCCTCGGCGTGCGGGCTTACGGCGCCTTACCGACGCCCGGTTCGATCGCTCAGACGTTTGCGCAGTGGGGGCGGCTGCGCGGTTCTCCATGGGGAAGCCCGTCAAAACTGTCGTAGACAGGAAGCTCTACAAAGAATTGGTCAAATGCCCACCAAGAACAAGGATTTCCTGTACATCTTCTTGTAGCTGGTGTTGGAAACTGGTGTTTCAAGTGGTCCGGTGGTTTGGATTTGAACGGCTCCCTGGTTCGATCCATGGGAAACCCCCAAAATGCAAACCGCCAAGTTTGGGGGAAGCGGATTTTCAGCCTGTTGAAAAGCCAAAATGGAAACCCACCATTCTTGGGCGTCCGCCTATTTTGACCAGCCTTGATTGCGAAGGGGGGGGAGAGTGGGTGGGTATTTTGGCGACCTCCCCCTGTGCCCCCTGTTAAGTGGGGCTTCTTCAAAAAAAAATGGGGGCCCTGCTCAGGGGTCAACGGACCAGACACTTCACGTCGCAAGTCTGCGCCAAAGGTGGGACATGGCTCCCAACCCTCCGAATGGCTCCGAGCCAACATGAAGCAAGCCATCGCAGAGCGGGCACTAAACGCTCAGATTGTAAGCATCCATGGGCGAAAGTGTCAACCTGACGCAGGAAAGCATCCCATGCCGTAGCAAGTTTTCAATGGCTAAACTAAGCCGGGCTGTCCATTTTCTGATCCCCTGAAAAGTGACTCATGTTTAGTGGGTTAAACGGAAAAACAACAACAAAAAAGGAAACTACCATTCAACCAACTGAAAACCGAGGAAGAAAAAGAAGAAGAAAAAAAAAACGACGCCGGACGGGGGAAAAAACAAAAAAAACATAAACACCTCACGCGCCGGATGGCTGGTGTTCCCACCTAAGATCTTCAGCACGGATCGACGTGGAAGCCGGTCCACCCAGGCCCGCCTGCTGCGTCTCCGCAGGCAGCGCCTCCACGATGGCGTGCCGCTGCAGCGGCGTGAGCTGGCGGCAGGCCCGGGCAGGCCATTCGAGAGCGACGGCAATGGGCGCGTGTCTTCTCACTGCCTGAGTGGATGGCCCAAAAAAAGTCTAAACTTTAAATTTACCACTAAAATGGTCTTCCCAAAAAGTTTAAAGTTCATGCACTCAGGAAGTGAGTCTTTGCAGGAGGGCGCCTCTTCTTTGGCGGCTTTTTGTTTTCAGGGAAACCCCCATGGAAAACCACCATTTTGGTTCTATTCCCCAACAGCTGAAACGCGATGAGGCCTCAGACCAGATAGGCTCCAGGGCGGCTCTGAGGTAAGGTTCTGCAGGGGTCTGCAAGGGTTCTGCGAGGGTTCGGGGATATCACCTGAGCTTCTTTTTGTTGTTGATTTTTTGGGGGGTCCCGACAAAAAGGACACACCCATCATATGGTCCTATGGCCTGAGTGGTTCCTTTGGTTTCCTCTAGTAACGTGCCATTTCCAGTCATAAAAGTGGACGATCGGAGGGTTTTGGACTGCCATCATAGCCCGCTTTCCAGTTCCCTGATTGGACAGAGGGCTCTCATTTGCACAAAAAGGTGTCTTTGCTTCGTTGATGTCCAGCGATTTATGTCGAACCTTTTCAGCTCTGCAACTAGGCTGCCCTCAGATCCCCCGCTAAAAGTTCAACTGTTACTGGGTTGCATGAAAACTGCCAGTAAACACTAAGAAGCTAAAAAGCTCAGGAACCGGATGGCTGGGACACCAAGGCAAGTGGATCCTAGAAAATCAGAACCGGAGAGCATGCCCCCCCCCCCTCCCCCCGCACCGGAGGGTATCCACGAATACTTGAAAGGAGCAAAAAAGCCTGCGGGTTCAATCCACGATGTGGGCCGAATGGAAAGAGGCCAATGTCATCGGTGAATTTATTGGGTGGAATTGGTGCTGGGAGCAGGTCGATTGCTGCATGGCACTCGTGTTCTTCATTGATGCGCTGTCGCCTTCAATGGCAAGACCCTAAAGTGTTCTTCTCTGACAATGCACAGTAGAGAGATGGCGGTTGCTCTGGGAAACATCCACCTCTGAACTGACCATCTATCAATGACTTGATCGAATTGGTGATTCACCCCGCATGGATCACCCAAAAAGACCAAAGCACTAGGCACCTGGCATGCTTCCAACCACATGCCTGAAGGCCAAACCCAATTCGAATATGCGAGCTTGGTCTCTCGCTCTCTCCCTCTCTCTCTCTCTCTCTCTCTCTCTCTCTCTCTCTCTCTCTCTCTCTTGCACTCTCGCAGGAAGAATTTCCTGGCGCTAATGGTCGTTCAACACCAGCATTGCCGCGCTGACTGCAAAAAGGTGGTCCAAAACAAAGGCAAACAAAAGAGCACCAGAGGCTGAGAGCACACCACCCCCTCCCGTCCTCCCGAAGGATCCGCACTACCGCGGCCTCGATTGACAGCTTTGTCTGACTTGCCAGCATTGACAAATCCTTTCCCAGTTGATCCGACATCCCAAGGCAAAAAACGGTGCAACTCTTTCCAAACCCAAGGAAACTCAACCCCGTGTTCCACCGGGAAAAAAAGCAGACAGTCTCTTGCTTGCTTCCTTGAGACCCGAACCCCCCCCCCTATACGAAACACAAGCAATAGCCCGTTCTGTGATACCGAAATCGGATTCCCTACCCACATCACTCAGGGATGCCCTTGATATCACGGGAAGTGGCAACCTAAAACCTGGTTTTCTCACAACAGGGGTCCATTTCCTAAAACGGGGTGGTTTCCTTTCGGTGTTTCTTTCAAATATCAACCAGAAAGACCACACACACACACAAAAACCAAAAAATAATTCCACCTTTTTTCACCGCAGGGGATCCACCGATTTGGAGAAACTTCTTCGAAAATCAGCTTTGCTGGTGGCTTGGTCTGGTAGTTTGGAGGTGTGCCGGGGGGTGGGAAGAACCGTTTGTCTTCTACAAGAAGCAGTGGTTCCAATTTTGAGAACCTTCAACTTCCCTCTTGATTGGCTCGGTTGGGTGCTTTGGACCTTAAAGGCTATCTTCTGCATTCCAAAGGGGCTGGGGGTAAACTCCAAATCCAAACTCATTCATAACCACCAGAGCCTGAAACCTCGCAGGGCCCCGCCGTCCCGCCGTCCCGCCCATGTCAATCGAACTCCTGGGGCCCCGGGCCATGTCCGGTGCAGCCAGGACCTGCGCATTCACGGCCTCCAGCATCCGAACGCCCTGCGCAAGCTGCTCGCTCGCACAGAAGCGAAAGAACGGCGCTGGCTCCGTCGCCCAAAGATGCCAGCAGAAAGACACATGCTGGTGCTGGTGTCCGTGTGCGTGCGCGTGCGCGCGTGCGTGCTCGTGTGCGTGCGTGTATGCGTGTGCATGTGCGTATCGATCCTTGCTGATTCACGGCGCCAGCTGGGCGCAGCAGCTTCTTGCACAACCCCGAAAGCCGAAGCCTGCAGGAGCTCGGTGCGCTTCTGGTCATCCGCGCCCTCCAATAGGTCCCTGGCTCTGAGGACTTCTCTAGCCGGGAGGTCTCCCGTCATTTTGGGGGGGGTGGGAGAAAAAAAGGTGTTGGTTGGGAAACTGCGATTTTGTGGGTGTTTCTTTTTTCTTTTTTCTTTTTCGGAAACCCCAAGGGAAGAATGCGTGTGTTTTGTCCCCCCCGAAACCCGTGGCACACCCATAAAAGAACAGAAGCCGCACGTTTCAAGACAGAAAAACCCGCCAGGAAACACCAAGCACCTGACATAAGGTAGGAGAGGGCTCTTAGTCCTAGCCCAGCATAGGTGGTTGTCAGAACTAAGAGCCCTTGGGAGGTGTGGAGGTATCTCAGGGAGGTTGTTGGATGGCTTGGCAAACCCAAAAGGACTCGGCCAAACCCGCCCGGAGCGGCGGCAGGTGTGACAAGAGCTGGCGGAGCCGGGAGCCACCAGCCTGGCGCTTTGAACAGCGCTGGGCAGGCCATGGGTTTCTTTCGACATGGGCGTGCCGCGTTTTTTCTTCTTTTTTTCCGGGGTCCTCCGGTTTTCCCTTTGGTGTGCCTTTAAACCAAGCCCAAGACGGGTGCCCGAAAAGAGAAGAAAAAAAGATAGACCCACAGATGGACCCCTGAAATAATACGGCATGGTTCCTTTGGCGAAACAAATGGGTTTCCCCAAACAAACAAACAGCTTGTCCAGAAATAGAAAACCACCAACATGGGGTCCACTATTTTTGGACACCCATTTAGGTGTGTTGTTTTCTTCGGGGACCCCATCGTCGTGGTTGGTTTAATTGGGAAACCAGGAAAGGAGGCGCTCATTGACGCAGGCGAGTGGATGTCGGTGAGCCTTTGGTCTACGGGAAACCATATGGGTGTGGGTCTAACACCCACGGTCTTCTGGAAGTTTAATTTTGACCTATACCCACATTTGGGGCTTCACATAAACCCAAACACTGGCACATGTGTAACAATGGAGGGTCCCTTGAAAAGAAGGGTCCAAAATGATCATCCAACAAAGACCCTACTTACAAACTCCAAGCTGGGTAACACCTATCCCCGCAGCCCACTGCGCCTAGGATCCCTGCCCTCATTTCCGGCAACATGTGTTCTTTGCGTGTTTCACCCGGTCCAAACACTCTCTCCGGCCATCTGCCAACGCAAAACCGATTCTGTAACTCCAACCCAACGAAGACCGAGGATTTCGAGAGATGGAAGCTGGAAACACGCACAGCGAGCAGCCAAGCCGACTTGTACTCATGGAAATTCACAACAAATACAACATGGTCTGCATTTTTTTTACCATATGTCCATTGAGATCCTTTCCCCCTTCCCCCCCCTAGGGCCTTTTCCCCCCCGAGATCTTCTCCCTTTTCCTCCAGATCTTTTCCCACCTTTCCCCCTCTAAGATCTTCTCCCGCCTTGACCCCGCCCCCCCAAGATCTGTTCCCCCTTTCCCCCTTTGCTCTCCCCCCCCCCCCCCAAGATCTTTCGTGAGCAACAATCACTTCCCAACTGCACCACACATTTCATGAGATGTCCCATGGAGAATCCACAAAAAATCCATGTGGGTCCCTCAAAATGGTTGTTGCCGGTGTGGTTTCCCTTTCACTAAAATTCCCTTCTGGGAGTCCCCAAGAATGACCACGCCTCCTGCTTCAAATGCTTCATCAGCTCTTTCCGCGTGCCCTGCGCAGGCTGACGTGTGGGTCTTTGGCCTCATGTCGAATAGACTACGTATGGGGAATTCCAATGAGTGGCTTCGTGTGTGTTCTCGTTTTCAGCATCCCAACCAGGTATACAAACACGCATGTGTGTATGTATATATATATACATATACATATATATATATACATATATATATATATATGTGTAAACTGTGTAAGTAGGTATGTACTGCAATGCACTCTTCACGGGCCCTTCGCTCTTCATCGCTCTTCACCTCACGCACGCTCACCGGCTCCAACTTCCCCGCTTTCGGATGAGGCAACCCCTACCTCGGGCATGGCGGCCAGCGCCACCCGCCGCTCCTCCCCAGACATCGCCTCGGGAAAGCCGTCTCTTCGGCTCGATAAAAAGATTGGCGCCGGCTCTTTTTTGTGGGGGCCCCGCAGCCCCAAAAATGGTGGTTTTCCTTTTCGCCTTCCTTTAAAAGACCACCAAACAAGGGGGACCCCACAAAAAGTCGCACGCATACTCGTGGACAACCCCACTTCGCGGCAGCCCTGCGCTGGGATAACCACGGACTCAAGTGAACAGGGTTTCCGGGGATGAAATTCAGGGTATGTCTAAATATGTACAGTACTGTGCAAATCGATGTTAAGCAGCGACCTACACCGCTGCAAATAGAACAAGGCGCGGAGCAATGGCAAGGGACTTGCGTCCCGTGAATCAATGTCCATGAGTCATCTGGTTCTCAAGAAAGGAAAGGCGTGAGTGACAACCAATGAACCCCCACATCCAGAGTTGCTGTTAGAACCCGTCAAGACCTCCCAATTTTGAGAAGTGCTCATGCATTGAGGAGTCACCCGCGGCAAATTCAGCAGGATCTCAGAAAAACAGAGCCATGAAAATTCCAGTCAATGATGTTGGCGATCCTGGGACATCACTTGCATGGAGATGTGTGTCCACGGGTGACCCAAAACAGATTCTAACAAATAATTGATTCTAGGATGCTGCGCACATTGTCCTTTGCAAGCTGGAGCCCGTTTGATAGAACCTATTTAGGGCCCCAGGGTGTCCAGCCATGAGGCTTTTGACCAACCGCCTCAGATGCGACGAGCCGCGCGGAGTCTCCGAAGGATCACCTCCACCTCCTCCGATGGCAGCTCCACACGCCTGCGAGTTGTATCGAATTCGTCGAATGCGTCGCCGGAATCCCGCAACCCATCGTCTCCGAATCGTTGAGACCTTTTGGCACGGTTGTGCAAAGGGGTTACGTGACTAAAAGTGGCTCCCTCATTCCAACGGCTGGTCCGACTTCGGTATCTGTCAGTCTATGCATGCACCCCACTGGATACGGACCCTCTTCCACCCAAACGGATGTTTTGGCTCCGGCAAACTTCCCTGCTTCGTCCGACATCGAACTGCCTGGGGGGCGGTTTCTCGAGCAGGGCGCTCCCCGGCCACCGGAATTGCCAGCCTCGCGCCGCCCGAGCCGATGCTGAAAGCCCGCTTTCAGAAATTCTAACACGGGTTGCAAATTGACCGTGCCGCACCTGCCACGCTACGCGCGATCAAAATTTCTGACCCAACTGACCCGCTAGTCTGTTTTTTGCTACACAGCTCTAAGAGGACAAATCTTTCGTCCTCCTGAAGTGAAGGGCATGACTCAACCAACATGGGGGAATTGGGCCATCCACCTCGCGCCCAACTGCACACGTCTTGAACCCTGCACAACTAAATGGTCTGACTCATAGCATCAATTCACAAAGAGAGTCTGCCTTAGCACGATGGTCAGCCTTCCCCACTCCTGAATCCCAAACTTGGCACGGCGTCCGCGCTTTTCCGGCCTGTGAGACTCGTCGAAACAGTCCCTGTACCCCCTTGGGAGGTCGGGCAGTCGGAAGGCTGGGGCATATGAAGCCGCGACCGAAATCATAGCAGGGCTGCTTTGTGCATGAATGTGTTTACAAAATATTCTAAACACCCAGCCTTTTTCTGTAGTCTATTTTAGTGGGGGAACCCTCCCCCCAAAAGAGGGTAAAAGGGCACTACTGGAAAACCTAGCTGTAGTTAGAACTCTAAATGAAGTATTTAGATCCTGGATCCAAGATCCAGGATTGCTCCCGGAAGTCCCCAAAAAAACCTGAATCCAAGTATTTGACCTCGTAAGCCAACATTACGATTAAGCTTCTGTTTAAGATGTCAGGGGCCGGAATTCTTGGATCTAGACCCAAGATCTAAATATTCTGTCATACTTAGAGAATCAACTATTCAGTTTACAATCTCCCCGGGAGAGTCAAGGATCCAAGACTGCTGCCAAAAGCCCCGCTGGAGGAGATCTTGCGCCGATGTTGGATCTCGGATCTGAATACTGCATTCACAAATATTAATCTGAATTGTGCAATTTGATATTGAGTGCAGCCTGGTGCCGCCATTCCTCTATCCCGGGCTAAATCAAATGAATTTGGAACGTGTATGTACGTGTGTAAACAAGTCCAACATATGTGTCATGTGTTTGTTCAGTTATGATTCTAGTTATGTGATCATTCTGGTTCGTAAGGCATCTATTTATTTATTATCATTTATGTTGTGTATTGTGTCCATTTATTGTTGCAATTGTTTGTTATAGTTGTTTCTTAAAAACAAAAACATATGTATGTCTTTGTTTGTTTATTTAATCGTGTATCTACTTATTTAGTTATGCATTGTTTGTGGGCTTATTGATTTAGTGAACTACTTTCTTGTACATCTATTTATGTCTTTGGTAGCTATCTGTTTTTTTCAGATAGTTAGGCATTTGTTTACGTACTTACATTATCTTCGCAAATTAATGTGAATGATATATCCACAAGTTCACCCAGGTGCCTTCGGCCCGACTTTAGGCTTCCAGTGCCCTGCCCGGCTGTTCGTATCTGTCCCAAGGCCGCACTTCCGAGTTGGAAGAGCCGCAAGGCCCTCTGCTTCCTACACCTTCTGGGGATCGGGGTCTGGGGTTTCCCTTTAACCTACCAGGGGGTGGGGTGAACACACCTTGGGATCAAAGTCAGCTGGGGGTTCCCTTTGCTTGCGATCGGTACGAGAGATGCCGAGAAAACCATCTCCTATGGTGTCCTTTCAAGGAATCTCCTTCGGTTCATTCCCAAAACCCGGAAGGTCACTCCCCACTGAGCATCAGCAAGGTCACTCAGTTCGTAGAGAAACTAGTGGGGAGGGTGTCATAAATCCCTCCAAACACTGAAAAGCTAAAAAAGGCTGATGGCTGGCTACCGCCAAGAGACATCCCCAAACGCATGTAGGGTTGCTGAATAAGGCACCGCACGGAAAATCACTGCATGTTCGTATCCCTCATCTCAGGGGAAGCAAAGGGCGGAGACAGGGATGCATCCGCTTAACACTTGCCCAGCACACGACATCGCTCGAGCCGCGATCCAGACATCCCAGGCATCCGAGAAGTTTGACAAATCCGGGGCTCCGAAAGGTTTGCCTGCGCGAGGTGACTCTCCCGTCTTTGGGACCGGGGAAAAATCGTTGACTGCGCGCGGTCTCGTAGTGTCCATGGGTTGAACAAAGATCCCCAAGTTAACGATTCCCATAGGACTGCAGCCTCGGCTGTTTTGGTCCTATGACCTGAAACCCGGTCCTGGGCACTGCGCAGGGCCCCTATTTAAGACAAGTTGGGCAGGAAATAACTTGAAGCCCGCGCGGGGAAGACATGAAACTGCAACCCACAGCCATATCTCAGAGCCCTGCATGAGCATTTTCTTGAAGGTTTACTCTCCTTCATAGGAGGATCCGCCAGTCTTTAGGCAAATTCTGCCAAAGAATGGACAGCAAGTTGGTTTAGTAACAGCGCTTGTTCCACGCCTTATGAACAATCCCCAGCCAGCAGAGCTCTGTTAGAACTCAAATAAACAGACTTGGTCTGACAATGGCCAACCATGGTTCCAGGTGCTTGGATGGACTTGCCCAAATGTTGGCTCTTTTACATTGCTTGGTCATGTAAACATGTCGGGTTGCCTGGTTTTTTGGTCGTCAAGATCGTGGGATTCGCCCGACGCCTTCCATGTGAGCCACGAATTCTTTGCAAACCCGGCAGTGTGGTGTCTTCTGATCGCCCGCGCTCGCGCTCCAGTGACTCCACCCAAAACATGCTAAGCAATCATGCACAGACACGCCATTTTCGCGCAGTGAAGGGTCTGGAAATTGGGAATCCTCTTCGGCGCAGGCGGCAATCAAATGAAGCTCCTTGGAGGTTGAAGCAGAACGTGGAAGGTCCCTCGAACAAACGATCCCCCCCACCCAAAACAGTCCAACAAAAACTGCAACTGCACCCGTAACTGCACCCGCTCCGGCATGGTAAATGTTGCAACTTGCAGATCAACACCGGTTCCATACGCACCGCCTCCCATCACTCGGGGCTCAGTTCCAATTTCCCCTTTCCGCCGTCGGAGGCTTTGAAGGCGCCCGTGATCTGCGGGGTGTGGGCCTTGTAGAAAATGTGACCAGTGACCTTCACCTCGGGTAGGGCTCTCCCTGTGCGGAGACTCATTTTAGGCATATGGCTGCGGGTCAAAACCAATGGGATCCCATTTTGGTGGGGGGACGATTTGGATTTTGACCCATGGCCATATAGTGACTTGTCACCGGTAGTGACAGTGACTCTTGGGTCGTGGAGCGCCATATAGCCTTCCTATGGCTGCCCTGGTTATGGCTCTGAAGCAATATTGGATGCTGACTACAACAAGAAAAGCAGAAAATATCGAGAGCTCTGCACCAATGACTGGTGCAGACCCCAGATTGCCCAACAAAAGGCGTCAACCCAGAGCTGGGTGTAAGTCTACCTTGGGAGTAGTCAAAAGCTGAAGGTGTCTGCATCCAATCTTGAAGAAGGCTCACAGCCGTCTGCGGGGGTACATGTAAATGTTCCTGAACCTGCCGCAGACTTGTCAGATTGACGGCAGTTCAATTTGTGGGAGCGATTTCAAAGATCAACTACGCTGTTTGTTGCCGGTCACATATGTTTTGCGATATGAACCAAGGCCAACATTCCTTTCCGGTTGCAGCTCTTCTACAGCGTCTTCTTTGTTTGATAAAGAACTCGGACACCCCACAAGTCAGGGGAAGGATGGGACCCACCCGGCAGGCCTCGCAAGGCAAAGCCATTGCCCTTGACAAAGAAGCACCGACGCCGACAAAGAAGGATTAATGTCTGGGCAAATTGACTAATGCTTAGTCTCTGTTGGAAGTCCCTACGCTACGAGGTCCCTCTAACATGGAAGCTAGGATGCAAACTCTTGGGGAAACACCAGCCACCTGCTGTAATTCACAGAAAATCCGCCGACAACAGGCGGCGTGTTGGACATAAGAAATGCTCCTTACCTCTTTACCTGTTACCCCTCCCCTAACCCCTCCCCAGAGGCAGCATTTCAGACTGTTGCGGGGGGGGGGGGTCCACGTACCACGCGGTGATTCGAAGACGCTTCACTAAATCTGTTCATTGTGCGGGCTTGCGCAACTCAGTTTGTCAAAAACATTGGGGTGTTCGATTCCCCCCGGGTGCGCTTTCGCATCCTTAGCAGCTCCAGCTGCACATCGCCAGCATCACCTGCATCATCCGCATCAGCGCCTGCCAAGGATGCGGATGATGCAAGTGATGCTGGTGATGTTGCCTATGCTGGATCATTTATTTCCCCCCTAAGACCTTTTCCCACCCTCAGTTCTTCTCCCTTTTCCTCCCAAAGATCTTTCCCCCCCCCTTTCCTCCCTAAGTCCTTTTCCCTGAGTTCGTCTCCCTTTGCCTCCCTAAGATCTCTTCCCCCCTTTCCCGCTTAAGATCCTTGCCCCCGTTTCCCCCCTAAGGCCTTTTCCCCCCAAGATCTCCACCCTTCTCTTCCCAAAGTTTTTTCCTCTCTTTCCCGATTGAGATCCTGTCCCCCGATTGCCCCTTAGGGCCTGTTCCCCCCGAGAAAGATTTCCCTTTTCCTCCCAAAGATCTTTTCCCCCCTTTCTTTCCCCCCCTTTCGCTGTTGAGATCCTTTCCCCCTTTCCCCCCTTCATTTCCAGATCTTAGGGAGGAAAGGCAGAAGATCTGGGGCAAAAAGGCCTTAGGGGGGAAAGGGGAGAAATGATCTCAACAGGGCAAGGGGTGGAAAAGATCTTCGGGAGGAAAGGGAGAAGATCTGGGGAAAAAAGGCCAACAGGGAAAGGGGGGAAGAGATCTTGGGAAGGAAAAGCGAGAAGCTCTCATGGGGGGGGGGAAAGGCCTTGGGAGGGAAAGGGGGGACAGATCTCAACAGGGAAAGGGTGGAAAGATCTTAGGGAGGAAAGGGGGGGGGGGAAGAATCTTAGGGAGAAGCTTTATAAGAAGCTTTATAAGAAGCTTTATAAGAAGCTTTAATAAGAAGCTTTATAAGAAGCTTTATAAGAAGCTTTATAAGAAGCTTTATAAGAAGCTTTACAAGAAGCTTTATAAGAAGCTTTATAAGAAGCTTTATAAGAAGCTTTATAAGAAGCTTTATAAGAAGCTTTACATTAGGAAAATTTTTTGGGTGACGTCCAACAGTCAGAGCACTCCGTGCCTCTTCCAGCTTCACTGTGGGAGGCCTCCAGCTGGAGCTGAGGCTTCCAGCTGGAGCTCTCTCTTTAGAGGGGGTTTCCCAAATGGTTTATATTCTACCTGAGAGGCTCCTAGCACTCGTCCGTCCAGCAATTGACCTCGTCCTGCGAAGGATTCGAAGTCTAAAACGCTGCGTGGAGGCGTGAGGCTGCAAAATAGAGACCCCTAGATATGCTTGCAATTTGGCTCCAGGTTGCATTTCAAGCGAGCCAACCTTTGCAGGGCTAAGAAAAAACAAAAAAAAAGAAAACAAGGGGTCCCAAAAAAAGGGGTCCCTAAGATCTTCCCCCCCCTTTCCTCCTTAAGATCTTTCCCACCCTTTCCCTGTTGAGATCCTTTCCCCCCTTTCCCTCCCAAGGCCTTTCCCCCCCCCCATGAGAGCTTCTCCCTGTTCCTTCCTACGATCTTTTCCCCCTTTCCCTGTTGGGCTTCCCCCCCTAAGTCCTTTTCTCCCAGATCTTCTCCCTTTCCTCCCTAAGATCTTCCCCCCCTTTCCTTCCTAAGATTGTTTCCCCCCTTTCCCTGTTGAGATCCTTCCCACCCTTTCCCCCTGAGGCCTTTCCCCCCCTGAGAGCTTCTCCTTCCTTAGGTCTTTCCCCCCTGTCCCTGTTGGCCTTTTTTCCCCCAGATCTTCTCCCTTTCCTCCCTAAGATCTTTTCCACCCCTTTCCCTGTTGAGATCATTTCTCCCCTTTCCCCCCTAAGGCCTTTGCCCCCAGATCTTCTCCCTTTCCTCCCTCAGATCTTTCCCCCCCTTTCCCTGCTCAGATCCTTTCCCCCCTTTCCCCCCTAAGGCCTTTCCCCCCCTGAGATCTTCTCCCTTTTCCTCCCTAAGATCTTTTGCCATTTTCCCTGTTGAGATCCATTCCCCCTTTCCCCCCTAAGGCCCTTTCTCCCTCTGAGTTTTTTCCCTTTTCCTCCCTACGATGTTTTCCCCCCTCTCCGTGTTGAGATCCTTTCCCTCCTTTCCCCCCTAAGGCCTTTTTTCCCCCCGCGATCTTCCCCCTTTTCCTTCCTAAGATCTTTTCCCCCCTTTCCTTGTTGAGATACTTTCCCGCCCTTTCCCCCCTAAGGCGTTTTCCCCCCCAAGATCTTCTCCCTTTTCCTCCCTAAGATCCTTTGCCCCCTTTCCCTGTTGAGGTCCTTTCCCCTCTTTCCCCCCTAAGGCCTTTCCCCCCCTGAGATCTTCTCCCTTGTCCTCCCCAAGATCTTTTCCCTTGGTTGAGATCCTCTCCCCCTTTCCCCCCAAGATCTTCTCCCTTTTCCTCCCTAGGATCTTCTCCCACCTTTCCCTGTTGAGCTCCTTTCCCCCCTAAGGCCTTTTCAGATCTTCTCCCTTTTCCTCCCTAAGATCCTTTGCCCCCTGTCCCTGTTGAGATCCTTTCCCCCTTTCCCCCCTAAGGCCTTTTCCCTGCCTGGGACCTTCTCCCTTTTTCACTGAGATCTTTCCTCCCCTTTCCCTGTTGAGATCCTTTCCCCGTAGGGGGTCCAAGGGTACCACGCCACCCTTCCCGAAGAGCCTTTCCCCCCTTTCAGTTGCTTTTGCCTTCCTTAGTCTTCAACATTTTGGGGTTTCATTCCCCCCCCGCTCTTTCCCTTTCCAGCTAAGATCTTTTCCACCCCTTTCACCTTGAGCATCATCCTCAGCCTTTCCCCCCAAGGCCTTGATGCACCAGATGCTGGCCTTTTGCCCTAATGCTGAACCCCCCCCCCCAGTTCCTTGTTGAGATCATTTATTTCCCCCCTTTTCCTTCTAAGGCCTTTTCCCACCCTCAGTTCTTCTCCCTTTTCCTCCCAAAGATCTTTCCCCCCCTTTCCTCCCTAAGTCCTTTTCCCTGAGTTCGTCTCCCTTTGCCTCCCTAAGATCTCTTCCCCCCTTTCCCGCTTAAGATCCTTGCCCCCGTTTCCCCCCTAAGGCCTTTTCCCCCCAAGATCTCCACCCTTCTCTTCCCAAAGTTCTTTTTCTCTCTTTCCCGATTGAGATCCTGTCCCCCGATTGCCCCTTAGGGCCTGTTCCCCCCGAGAAAGATTTCCCTTTTCCTCCCAAAGATCTTTTCCCCCCTTTCCCCCTTAAGGCATTTTTTCCCCAGATCTTCTCCCTTTCCTCCCTGAGATCTTTCCCCCCCTTTCGCTGTTGAGATCCTTTCCCCCTTTCCCCCCTTCATTTCCAGATCTTAGGGAGGAAAGGCAGAAGATCTGGGGCAAAAAGGCCTTAGGGGGGAAAGGGGAGAAATGATCTCAACAGGGCAAGGGGTGGAAAAGATCTTCGGGAGGAAAGGGAGAAGATCTGGGGAAAAAAGGCCAACAGGGAAAGGGGGGAAAAGATCTTAGGAAGGAAAAGCGAGAAGCTCTCAGGGGGGGAAAGGCCTTGGGAGGGAAAGGGGGGAAAGGATCTCAACAGGGAAAGGGTGGGAAAGATCTTAGACAAAAAGGGGGGGAAGATCTAGGGAGGAACTCCCTAAGATCTTCCCCCCCCTTTCCTCCTTAAGATCTTTCCCACCCTTTCCCTGTTGAGATCCTTTCCCCCCTTTCCCTCCCAAGGCCTTTCCCCCCCCCCATGAGAGCTTCTCCCTGTTCCTTCCTAAGATCTTTTCCCCCCTTTCCCTGTTGGGCTTCCCCCCCTAAGTCCTTTTCTCCCAGATCTTCTCCCTTTCCTCCCTAAGATCTTCCCCCCCCCCCCTTTCCTTCCTAAGATTGTTTCCCCCCTTTCCCTGTTGAGATCCTTCCCACCCTTTCCCCCTGAGGCCTTTCCCCCCCTGAGAGCTTCTCCTTCCTTAGATCTTTCCCCCCTGTCCCTGTTGGCCTTTTTCTCCCCTTTCCCTGTTGAGATCATTTCTCCCCTTTCCCCCCTAAGGCCTTTGCCCCCAGATCTTCTCCCTTTCCTCCCTAAGATCTTTCCCCCCCTTTCCCTGCTCAGATCCTTTCCCCCCTTCCCCCGAGATCTTCTCCCTTTTCCTCCCTAGGATCTTCTCCCACCTTTCCCTGTTGAGCTCATTTCCCCCTTTTCCCCCTAAGGCCTTTTCAGATCTTCTCCCTTTTCCTCCCTGAGATCCTTTCCCCCTTTCCCCCGGCCTTTTCCCTGCCTGGGACCTTCTCCCTTTTTCACTGAGATCTTTCCCCCCCTTTCCCTGTTGAGATCCTTTCCCCTCTTTCCCCCCTACGGCCTTTCCCCCCCGCTGAGATCTTCTTCCTATTCCTCCTTAAGATCCTTTGCCCCCTTTCCCTGCTGAGATCCTTTCCCCCCTTCCCTTTAAGGCCTTTCCAGATCTTCTCCCTTTCCTTCCTAAGATTGTTTCCCCCCTTTCCCTGTTGAGATCCTTCCCACCCTTTCCCCCCTCAGGCCTTTCCCCCCCTGAGAGCTTCTCCCTTTTCCTTCCTTAGGTCTTTCCCCCCTTTCCCTGTTGGCCTTTTTTCTCCCAGATCTTCTCCCTTTCCGCCCTAAGATCTTTTCCACCCCTTTCCCTGTTGAGATCATTTCTCCCCTTTCCCCCCTAAGGCCTTTGTCCCCAGATCTTCTCCCTTTCCTCCCTAAGATCTTCCCCCCCCCCCTTTCCCTGCTGAGATCCTTTTCCCCCTTTCCCCCCTAAGGCCTTTCCCCCCCCTGAGAGCTTCTCCCTTTTCCTTCCTAAATCTTTTCCCCCCTTTCCCTGTTGGGCTTTCCCCCCTAAGTCCTTTTCTCCCAGATCTTCTCCCTGAAAGGGAGACGATCTGGGAGATCTTAGGGAGGCAAAGGGAGAAGATCTCCGGGGGGAAAAGGCCTTAGGGGGGAAAGGGGGGAAAGGATCTCAACAGGGAGAGGGGTGAAAACATCTTAGGGAGGAAAAGGGAAAAAAACAGAGGGAGAAAAGGCCTTCGGGCGGAAAAGGGGAATGGATCTCAACAAAGAAAAGGGGGCAAAAATCTCAGAGGGGAAGGGGGCAAGGGGACAATTCCAAAGGGACGCAAATAAGAAAGCAGGCCTGTAATGTCGGCGGCCTGAGCCGGAGGCACTAAAATAAGGACACCTTCTGAGACTGTTCCAACCAGCAATTGGATGTGCTTCATTCAGCCTATCCACCGGCCCCAAATGAAGCCCAAACCTGGAACTGGCACGTGCTAACTCGTGGCGTTGCCAGGAGCTCGGTTTCCCTTTTAAAGCGCCGAGCCACGAAGACACCCGCCGTTTTCTTGCTGGTTCTCACTACGTGTTGGGAAAACGAACCCGGGGCTTTCCTGAAGCAAGGCATGAATCAATGAAGTTCAGAGCTGCATTCCCCAAAGCTCCCAAAAAGTGTCCCAAAAAACATCACCCCGAAAAGGAAGCTCACCAGAAACTCAGAGGTGATGTTTAACCACCCGAGGGGGAAACTTGTGGCACCACCACTACCACCACCAACACCACCACCACCACCCTAAGCTGGCGTAGCAACTAGAAACCAAAACATCACGCGCATCACGCGTCAAAAGATGCAGATCCGGCAATTGGAGATGCCAGCAGACCCGAAACGAGCAGTTTTCTCACCAAGTCTTTTTCTATCCCAGGAGCGGTCCCCCAGGCGTGCGACTCCGACCACACCACCCGGTGGTTGTCCGGATCGAAATGTCCAGAGATCTGTGCCTCGCTTGCAAACGATAGGAAGAAAACAAATCGCAGGCCCAGTTCCAGGAAAGGTTTCTTCGAACCTTCTTGGGAGGAATAATTTTTCGGGGGATCTGGGGTCAGACTGCCAAAAAAAATGAAATGGACAGGTTATTCTGGAACAATGCCGTGATTGGTGGATGCGGGTCGGAGCGTGTCCATCTTGCAGTTGTGCATGGTGTTTGAGCGAACTCCTGGGACCAGCGCAAAAATGGCATCTCTAAATCCAAGTCGAAGGTTGGGAAGTTCCGCAGCGAGACATGCTGGAAACAAACAAATATATGTGTGGGGGGAGGGCACCGAGAACGCCTTGGGTACGGGTCAAAAAAGATCGCCAGGAATCGGACCGCAGGTTTTTCAGTGCATGTTTCCCATTTTCCAGGGCAACCCATTCTGGGTTCCATGTTCTTGCTGGTGCGATACGTAGAGAATGAGGGAATGAACCCAGGCCTTGGTATCCTTAAAGGAAACCACCAGTTGGATGGTTTTTCTGGGGAAAAGACTCCACGTCTCATTCCCTGCATCTCTCGATCGCAAGTCTCTCTCATAGGCGACCTTTTGGAAAAACCGATGGCCTTGGTCAATGGGGCAATAAACCAATCTCAACCAGTACTGTCTATTTCCAACCAAAAACTAACCCGATCAAAAGGACACCTATGCTTTTGACACCCATAGCCCCAGTACCCCCCACGCCATCCGCGCCGCTCCCGCGCCGCTCCGCGGGCGCTCCCCGCCCCGCACCCCGCCTGGCCGTCTGCGGCGGTGCCCAGGACGCGGCCGTCCGCCAGGAACTTCAGGTGGTACCCGCTGCTCCGGGCCACGCCCCGCTCGCTCAGGGTGCCCCGCCAGGGCCTCGGTATTCGCTGCCGGGGATGAGGCCAACGAGACTTCCACGCGAGGAATCAACGTGTGCGTGCGATGTATATACATGTATATATTGTTTC